CCCGCTGCTCAGGCTGACTTCAGGTCTAGGCCGACCTAGCCCAAAGTGCCTCAGTTCTCAAGAGAGGTCCACCTGCAGGGCTTTGGGAACTGTTCTGTGCATGTGTCCTGGGATTGTGTAATTAATAGATCAAGCCTACTTCCGCAAGCCCTTCTGAGGGCAGGGCCTCTATTGACCCAAGGACCTCTCAGTAGACCTTCATCTTTAAGGTCCCACTGCCTCAACACAGCCATCTCGAAGACCAAACCTCCAACACATGGACCCTTGGAAAACAAACTACATCCAAACCATAGATAGAAATGAGCTTGGGTCTTTTAAAAAGAATTTGTTTTATATAACATGACAGAATCATCCTTGCTTTAATTCTATGTCTACCCATAGCAGAACTACATATCCAGATAATTTATAAAATGTATGTATGCAATTGTTAGCTGGCCTAGAACACTGCACAGGTTACACATGGTAGCAAGTGTAAACATTAGTCCTCTCCTTTCCATTTGCCCCTGGTGGTGCTGCCCGGCACCAGCTAACAGGCAACGTGACCAGTCTTGCAGAGTGGGCACATCCATCGTGTTGCTTTTCTAGCTAGGATGAAAGACTCACTTGCTCATGCTCTCAATGGGTAATATCCGGTTTTAAGTCCCAGGTACAGCCCTGGTTGCAGGGAAGGAGAAAGGCACAAACCATGTTGTGACTTACTGTGAAAGATTTGTGTTGAAGAGGAGGGTGTGCAATACACATGAAAGTACAATGCAACAGGATAATAAAAAAATGTACCTCCCTTAGAAGACAGAGAAATTATTTTCTTATCACTAGAGGGGGTATGGAAGGAATGGACAAGAGGGAGGAGCTTCCTCCAGAGGGAGCTGGCAGGACAAGTAGAATCTGCATTTGTGGCTATGGGCCTCGAGAGTCCCTTAGGTTCAGTTGAGGAGGAGACTAAATGAGAAAAAGCCCAGAGGCAGGAAATGAAGGAAGGGGTGTGTGTGTGTGTGTGTGTGTGTGTGTGTGTGTGTGTGGTTTGTGTGGTGGGGGAGGTATGTGGAGGTACAGTCTATAGTTGGATAATCCCAATCCCATTAGGAATTGATCATGGAGTGTGAAAAAGGCAGCTCAAAAGTTTGCACTTAATTTGGTTGATGTTATGAAATCTTTACAACCTAGAGAGTGTACTATGGCACGCTGTGCTTTGGGGAAACCCATTTTGTCACTGGGAAGAATGTAGTGTCAAATTGAAAAGTTGGAGAACATTAATTTCAGAACCTAATTCTATGAGTAAAGAAATTAAGAGTAGGAGGGAGTGACTCCCAGGACAGTTGCACAGCATTTTAGAGAACGGCATGGACTGTTAACCTCCCTCTCCTCTGCCCCTCTGAGGGAAGTCTCTGTGTGGCTTCCAAATGGTTGGGTTCCTCAAATTCTTCTCCCTTCCCTCTGGCCTGCTTGTATCCAGATCTCATCTCCTGATGAAGTTATCAGATTGTATTGACACACCCAGGCCCTCCGTCTTCCTTTGCTTCTGCAAAGGAAGAACAATAAGGAAAAAAAAAGCCCCTCAAATATCTGAATGCCTAAAATGGTTAAAGCAGCATATTAAGGACAGACTTTCAGCAAAGGAAGATAAGTCATCCAGCAGCAAGGTCTTCTGGACTAAGGTCCTAAGCACAGAGTGACAAGACCACTTTGTAAGGGCATAGAGTAGGTTGGGGGTGGCATAGGAGGAACTCTCAGAGGAGATTTAAAAGGAGCCTGAAGAGGTGGAGAAAGAGTTGCCAGGTGAACAGAGAAGGAAGAGGCTCCTGAGAGAGAGCAACTTGGGAAAAGGCAAATAAGCACAGATTTGATAAGATGTTCTTGGAAGCCAGGCACAGTGGTAACATGCCTATAATCCCTGCACTCAGGGAGGCTGAGGCAGAAGGGTAGAAAGTTCAGTTCAGACTGGGCGACTGAGTGACTTAGTGACAGAGTCTCAAAATTAAAAAAAAAAAAAATTACAAAGGGATGGGGATGTAGCACATGTGAAAGACCTGGTTCAATGTTCATTACCAAAGAAATAAAGTAAGTAAATAAATAAATAAACAAATAAACAAACTGCATTTGGGAGATGACTACAATTTCAATTGGCTGGAATGTGGGTACATACACAAGCCTGGAAGGAAAGAACTTAAAGGGCCAAATAGCTGCCAAATCATGAAGGCCCCTGCAAACAATATTGACTTTGGCCTAGTGGGGTCATAAGCCCGGGAGAGGCAACATCGGATTGGTCTTTGTCCCTCATTGTCCAAGACTCTCTTGCCTTTACTGTTTTACTAGGAGCCTCTTCATTGCCTTTGCTCTTGGCCATTTTCAGAGATCATGAATTCCCCATGATGGAGTGTTGAAACTGAGACCAGATGGTCACTCAGCACTGAGGAAAACCCAGGAGCCAGGCTGCCTGGGTGTGGAGTGGCATCTCAGGCTATCCAAGTACTAACTTTTGAGCAAGCCACTTAATTTCCCACCTGGGTTTAGTTCTCTCACTCGTGGACTAACTAGACAGATGGTGCCAACCTCCAGAGCTATGGGAGGGCTAAATGAATTACATGTAGAAAATTCTCAGAATATTGTCTGACATTATAGGATCTTGGGGAAGAAAAGGATTAGTATGAGCTACCAAAAAGCCACTGGATACCGGACTGTAGTGGATGTAAGGGAACAGAAGGATCATAGCTTGGCCTAAAAATCTTTGTAACATCACTGGATGAATGAGAATGCTGCTCCTGGCTTTCAGACAACCACCCCACCTGGAGTTCTTTGATTCTCCGAACTGATAAACCAGTATTTCTTCTAGCACTGCACCTGTGAGTTTACACAACCTTCCCTTCTTGTTCAATATCAAGGTATGTGGCAAGTGTTAATAGGACATTCAGAAAAGTGAGTGCAGAAGAAACCAGAACGGCCAATGAGGACAAAGCTTTCGATTTGGGTTAGCACTGCCCACAACTCTGCATGTGGCTCACCAAGCATCCAATGTATGACTTTGTCATTTCCACTTCTGGTGAGGGCATCACCAGATGAAATTTATCTTTCACAATTAGCTTTATATAATGCTCATGCTAACACTATACCTACCTGAGCAGTTCATGCATCTCGCAGGAGAATCACATCTCACAGGAGAATCATAGTGATCTTCTCCAGTACACCCATACAACAGTTTCAACACAATTAGCAGCATTTCTGGATCCAGTACAGCTCTTATAAGGTGTATGATGGAAGAAATGAAGGTCTCTAATTATACCTTATTAAATTTTATTAATCCTCATTAGAACCCTATTATTCTTTATAAGTGGGTTACTGAAAAAGAAAGAAAAGAAAGGAATAGAATGCTGGTCAAGTTCCCGTTATATTTGATAAGTATCTGGTGAATCCATTCTTACCCTGTGTGATACTGGGATTTTTTTCATACTGAATAATAGTACTCAGGATGTGGGTTTGCTGAAATGTTTAACACTGAATGAGTCATAATAGGATTTGATCTTTTCAAATTCTCAGAGCAAAATCCCTCTAGGAGTGCATATTTCCCATTTTAAACCATGCTACTTGTAAAGAGAAATTCAAACCCAGAAATGCCTGTGTTCAAAGGCTATGTGAAGGAGGTGCTACATAAACGCGTCCAATAACATGCAGTTTTTACATTCATTTCTTAATTCCCGATCAAAAGAATTTCATCAAAATCTACCCTGAACAGGTGTGCTTGGGAGGAGTCCTGCTGGTGGTCAGGGTGGAGCCTGGGATTTATCAGTTAGCTGACCTGGGTTGAGGGAAGTGAGTTCAGATGGTCACTCAGTTATTTTATGTTGCGCTGGGAGTTATTTTAACTGAGGACAACAATTATTCCAATCCAGCTCACCGGAAGATGTGACACGTGGGTGCAAAGGTGCTTTTATGACACGGTGAGGTGGGGGATTTTTCTTTTGTATAGAAACACAAGAAGAGGGAGTTCTAGGTCTAGCTGTGTCCTGTAAGCAATGACCCCCCTGATAAGGTAAAAGGTGGTTCTCCCTCTTGCTCACATTCACAAATGTCAGAAGAAAAATAGCCTACTCAAACTTTCCAAGAACGGGCTTGTCTTTATTCAAACCAGTTCGCCCAGTTCGCAGACTTCTTTTTTATTTATCTTTGTAAGTTATAAGGACAGGGCAAGCTTTCTGGGTTCCTGGGAAGGGCTGTGAGATACACGTTAAACTCCAGGGCATCATTTCTTTGAGCTCGGGACAGAGAAAAGTTCCCCTGAAGCAATTAATTGTCACTGCTACTCAGGACTCACTGCCAGCCAGAACCTTCTAGGAACCGGCTCTGGGGTCTAGCAAAGCATGGAATCAGTGGGTGGTCCGCACGTCAGCTGACTCCTAACCGGGTTCCAGGCTCCCGGATCTGGGGAGCATGTGACCCAGTCCCCACGTGTGACGTGAATGGGCTGGAATTTGGTGACTGCCTGCTCTAACATCCTGCGAGTTTGCAGTCTCGCAGGGAAGCCAGGGCGGGGCTGGCGCGGAGGCTCCAAGGCAGGATCTCTTCCGCTCAAGCTCAGCCTTCTAATTTGGCGCCTTCCTTGCGGAGGCCAGTTAGTTCTTCGTTTCTCCAGCAGCCACCGAGTGGGCCGCTTCCTCCTCCGTCTCCTTCCTCTTCCTCCAGTGGAGGCACAGCCTCCACACCTCCTGGTTTCCCTTCCTTCTCCGCCAGCTCCCCGCGCTCCGGCGTCTCGTCTCTTCCTCTCGGGAGCGCAGTGCCCTCGGTGCGCCCACCTTGGGGCCGAGCAGCTGCCGCCCCGGGCGCCCCCTCCCCCGCCGGCGAGCCGCGCGGCGCCCCGCGGGCACCCGCCTTCCCATACCTTACATGGACAAATGCGTGCAAGCAAAGTCAGGAATTCAGGCCCCTGACGTCAGCCTCCAGCGCTCGGGGCACCGCACGGGAGACCGAGGGGAGGGGGTGGGGAGGAAGGAGGGGGAAAGGCACCAACCAGCAGCCGCTCCAGCCCTGCCGAAGTTTCACTTTTTGTCTGTGGGTTCGCTCCTGGGCCCCACGAGAGCTTTCCCGGGATAAGTAGCTTTAGCGAGCGGGCAGACCCAGGCGCTGCAAGGTAAGGGCTGGCTGCTCCGCCCGGGCGCGGGGCGCGGGCGCTGTGCTCCGCGGGGCCGTGCGGGACACGGGGCCGGGCCTGCCCAGGGCCGGGGACAATGGGAGGGGGAGTGCCCGGGCACCTCCTCCTCCGCCCTGCCTCCGCCTCCAGCCGCCGCCACCGCCGCCGCTGCCCCGTGTGCCTCCTCCCCGAGGTATTGTTGCAAATCCTCCTTCCTCCCCCGAACCTCTGCCCGCAGGCGCCTCAGGAACCCCCAGCCCTCCCCGGGCGCGAGCGCCTCCGGGGTAGCAGGAGCGCGGGGTGCAGAGCGCCCTGCCTTGCTGCCGGGCCCGCGGTGCGGAAGTGCCGGCCGCAGCCCAATCACGGGGTGCACGTCGTGGGGGAGGGGGCCCGGCGCCTTTTGGGGGAAGCGTCCAGCGCGGGGGTCGGGAGGGTTGGAGCGTTTCTTTGCGTGCCCCCGGCCTGGGTTTTTCTGGGCGCCCAGGGGGCGGGGCCACGCCTAGCCGCTAGGAGCTTTCGCGGAATCACAGTTGTCACCCGGCGGATAGGGCCCACAGACCCCGTCATTCAGGTCCTCCCATTCTGCGGTGAGGTCAACTGAGGTCCAGAGAGAAAGAGGGGCTTCCCCGAAGTCATTCGTTGGAGGCCGGGCCATAATTAAAGTAGGTGGCCGGGGACTCCTGGTACCCCGCCTGTAAGCATTTCTCCAGTCCCCACCGTGTGACTGGCATTGTGACCGGTGTATTGGGCCCAAACTTTCTCCTGAGGGAGCGCTCAGAGGGACACAGGGGCCAAACCCGACCCGAAGTAGGAAGTACCAAGTGCTGGGGTGGGGGAATGGAGGGATAAAGTTTTAAACAGGCCGTTCCGGGGAAAGAATTTGAAATTTTGGTCCCTGGAGAGGATCCAGAAATGACTTCCAGGGGCCTGTGCTTGGTCAGGGCTTTTGAAGGATGGGAGTTTCCTGAAGCCAGCTAGCAGAGAGCAAGGTCATCGTAACTGCAGACAGACAATGGGTGGGGAGTGGAGATCGCGCGTAAAGGGTACTACGTTGGGGGCGTGAGGTTTGGGGTGGGGTGTAGCATGAGAGGAGCTCCTCACTGGAATTGTGCCTAGATACTTGGACAGGGCGTGTCTTTGGGACCCCAGAGTCCCAAGGGAACTGAAAAATGTCTCTAGCTTCCCTTTCTTCAGGACCTCTGACCCCCAACACGTTAGCCAAAGCTCGGGGTTCTCTCTGAGCTGCTTTTCTCACAACAGACTCAACCTTATTCTCAGTCTCTTTTCTCTTTCAGCTTCCCCCCTCTTTGCTAAAATTCTTTCCTGGACACTAAGACTGGTTCTCGCAAAGGTGTTAGCGACTTAATGGTTTACCTCTCCCTGCAACCATTTTAAGGAAGCCTTTGGGAAAGGGAGGGAAAGTGGATAAGGACTTCTTTAGAAAGTGCTAACTCTCTCACCCTTACCCGCCCTCACTCTTACCGACTGGGAAACAAAGAGATATAGGGAACTAGGTTCCAGCCTTAGAGCCCACAGCCAATAATGGTGGGCAGCGCTGGGGGTTCTCGCTTCCCATCAAGAACTTCTTCCTTGTGATGTATTTACCAGCATCAAGGGCAGTTAAAGAGATTGTGTATCCTACATTTAATTCTTTGCAAGGTAGCCCCAGCTCCACCACCAGCGCCTTTTCTGGGTGGGATTTGCTTGTGATGCTGAGGGGTCCAGTGATCAAGTAGCCCCCTAGGGTCGCTCCCTGTAAGCAGCTGGAGTCTATTGAGTTGGCTTTGGGGGCAGGTGGGATTGAGACGGACCCTTCCTTCGTGGAATGACGCATTCTAGTGGAGAAATGATCTCTAGGAGGCAGGTAGACATTTCCAGGTGATGAAAGGTAGGAGATGAGACTTAATTATGAAGGACATTAAAAATTCCAGGCAATTGAATTTGATTATAATTTAAATTATCTTTTGAGGTTTCTGAACAGACTGGGACCTGATTTAGAGGGAGTGTTGGCTTTGGGAAGCTCCCTGTTGTCCAGTCCCACTGAGAGGTGATGATTCGGCCTAGGAATGTTATCAATGGGTATCTGTTCCTTTACTTGACACATGTTGCTGAGTATTATGCTTCACTGGCAAATATGAATATTTTACAGCAGGTTCATGTTTTTGTTGAGATGAATAGATTGCATTAAATCTGCTTTAAAACACTTTTTTTCATGTTTTAATATCACTGAAATCTGGTTGTCTTATAATAACAGATGTGTCACACTTGAACAGGTTTTTTTCATTCTAAATTGGTAATGACACATCTTATAGTCGGTGGTTTAAATTTGATAAAAATTGTTAATCATGTCCTTTATGAATGTGCTGTAGTACTTTATAAACCACTTTTCCATCAGATACTCCATTTGAATCTTAGATATGCTTTGAGCGTTGAGCCTGGTGACGCTGCTGTCTCCATTTTAACCCTTGCCCAAGGCTACATAGCTCATTACAGCTGTACTCAAAATTACAAACCCAACTTTGATGCTTGGCTGTAACATGTGGCTTTCCCTACTGTGCGACTGGTGTGGGTTAGTTGGGAAAGGGGAGGAATCAGACTGGGTTTGCTTTCAGAATGATGGCTGAAGGTGTCAAAATCATGAGAGGCTTTGGCCAAGGACAGTATAGCTTGTGGAAGTCCTTTTATGCTCGAAATGTGCTGCTTCAAATAGAAAAAAGATAGAGAGACAGAAACTGGCAGGTAAAACCAGAGGTTGGAGATGCAGCCATTTTACATGGAAAGAAGACCAGTGCACAAAGCGCACACATTCTTGAGCAGGCCTGGGTAGGCCCAGGAGCACCGAGAGAAGGAGGGAGCCATCCTTGTGTTGGGAGCACACAGAGGTGTGTGCATGTGTGTGGAGGGCGTCAGTGTATTGAGTGGTGTGTCAGCTGCTCTGCACTGCGGGTCGTCAGCCTCAGGGAAGCCACCGAACACTGTGTGCTGTCCGGGGCTACGTGGGGGTTGCCCAAGTGCTAGAACAGGTGAGAGAAGATCTGCAAGGCGCAGTAGTGGCTTACACAGGTACTAGGAAGAGGGTCATTGATTCTCCAGGCTGGCTCCCCCATGCACTAAACTCCACCCCCAGCTCTTTTTTCTTTACTTTCAGCCAGGATCTCACTAAGTTATACAGGCTGGTTTTGAACTTGCCATCCCTCAGTCTCAGCCTCCCGAATAACTCAGTACCTAGGTTGACAGCTGTGTGCCTCTGTACCCAGCAGGGTGTGTTGCAAATGGCCAGCATGAAGAGGGCTGCAGGAAGTGGAGAGAGAAGAGGACATCTCTTGGTTTTTTTGCTAAGTAAGGTTTAATTTTTCCCCCAGGACTATAAGAACTTTTAACTGGTTCTTTAGAGACTCATGATTCACAAAGAGCAAGGCTGGGCAGGGGCTCTGGAACCATGGCTGTGGGATTAAGTATTTGGTGGTAATGCAGGAGGCATAGTAACACTTAGCAATCAGACCAGTGAACCTGGGACTTTGACCCAGGGTAGTAATTGGGCCCTCAGAGCCGGGTAGGTGCATTGCTGGGTGGGGACTTTTACTGGAATACAGCTTTGGAATGCTACACTTTGCTAAAAGAAATTTGCTAGAAGAAACTTGTTGAAGGTGAGGCAGAGGGGGATGAAATGCTGCTACTTATTGTGTACAGGAAGCTAGGATCTGGGTGGAAATTCAGTGGCTTGATGGATGGTGCATGTGAGACTCCTCCATGTGAGGGGGAAGGGAAGGGCAGAAGGAAGGAATGGAAGCATGCTGGGGAATCTTGAGCTGCCTGGAGGCGTGGAGGAAATGGCTGGAGTGAGTCCTAATTTGGGCCACAGAAACAAGATGGGAGTCGGTGGCTGGCTGAGGGTCCATGGCACTAATGCTTAGAAGCCAGGAAACCATAAAGTTGAGGCTAGAAAATGTTTATTTCCCTCTCATTTTTTTCTTTCTAATAGAAATTTAAACATTTTTGAGTGGGGAGCCAGGAAACCATAAAGTTGAGGCTAGAAAATGTTTATTTCCCTCTCATTTTTTTCTTTCTAATAGAAATTTAAACATTTTTGAGTGGGTAGCAAACGCTTGTGTAATTGCCATATTGATTTCTGGCGGGAGGTTTTATGACTGCTATGGTGTGGATGTGTTTGATGAGCAGTGGTCTTTGTGTGGAAGGCTTGGTCCCAGTGTGCTAATGATGTGTGAGTCAGAAGAAGGTGGTCCTTAGGTCTCTAAGCTCTGTCCAAGGAAGGAGTTAAGGCAGCGGTCAGGAATCCCAAGTGACTGCCTGAATGTTCTTTGACTTCTTGTCTGACTGTGATCTCTCTCTTTCCCATGTGTGTTCCCACCATTTGGGGGCCTTCAGCAGGGCCCAGTGGAGGTTCACACCAAGCCCTTGAACCAACAGGATTGTGAGCTAAATAAAGCTCTTTTCTTTATGAAGTTCCCTAGCTTCAGTTATTACGTTATAGTAGAAGATGAACTGATATGATGATTATTAGTCTCATTGTGCAGGTGAAAAACCTGAGTTTGCTGAAATAAAGTTACACAACTGAGTGACATGGCTGAGTTTGAGCCCTTGCTCAGTTTATAGCTTCTTGGCTATTTCCAGTGGCCACGGGCAGGAAGAATTCAAACCAGTTACTGTTCTTCGGCATTGTTCTCTGGGATTTCATTCAGCTTCCATTCACTGGGACTTGGTGGGATCACAGCTGTTGATTTACCTGGGTGAGCAGGCTTCTCAGTTCCACACCTGTGTTGTCCCAGCTCTTCTTTCCGGATTCTCCCATGCCCACTTCCGGTTTCCCTTTGAGTGTCTTCTCTCTCTCAACCTACTTGGAGAGGACTTGACCTCCCTGCAAATCATCTGCCCCTCTTCACAGTGTGTTATGGCTTGTGTTTAGATGTCCTCCCAAAGCCTCATCCAGTCACAGGTGGGGCTTTTTGTGGAATGATTCATGGTGCAGTGCTAACCTCAAG